TTTTCAAAGCCTGGTTTACCTGATCCATTAGTTTTATGTATCAAGCGGATGTGGGAAGGGAGATCCGAGGGGGTCTGGACCCCCTTTTCTTTAACGCTGACCATAATCTCCCATAATGTACTGATTTTTAGAAATACTGGATCCTTACCTACATATGCCTGTGTATTTTAAAATTGCGCAAAACACGCATCCAATACCACTAAAGAAACCCTATTCAGTCATACAAGTAGATCAAAACGTACAGTTTACCCATTTTGGATAATATATATACAGTACAAAAATTATATTTCAAAAAAGTTCTCTCTCATAACGTTAGGCCAACAACAGGTACTTTTTTCACCATTATCCCATGACGTCGCAGGCAATATCTTATGTGGAGATGAAGTCGCAATTTATCCTATGAAGTCGATTTGACAGTAAAATCAGAGCATTTATCCCAAGCATTTATGAAGTGGTAATATACCATGAAGTATCTTAACATACGTCATTAAGCAAAATCTACATAAACATATGTCATTTAGTTTTATTGCATTATCTTGCGCCAAGAAGGCTTCCTTGAAATGTGTGTACATTTATAGTTGTTATTGAGTGTCCAATTTAAGTCTTCGAACGGTAGATTTTATTTATTTATTTATTTATTTATTTATTTATTTATTTATTTTTATTTGTTTGTTCTCGGTATTACAGAGCCATGGCTTCCTATCCAATAACACTAGAGAACCAGATCAAGATACAAAAAAACTGGGAAGCTTTATGCAATGATCTTCATGTTGAGATATTGTCCAAGAAACTCATCACGGCTGGCGTGGTAACTGCAACTCAATGTGAAGACATCTGTCAGGAACCAACACGTTTGAAACAAAACCAAAAGCTGTTGAATCTTCTGCTAACTGGAGACAACCTGAAATTTGATAATTTTATCTCATGTCTCCAGGAAGATTACCCGTGGCTCGTGACTGGACTTGTAAACACCTCAGTGACGGATGAAGACAAACAAAAAAGAATAGGTAATGACTGATCCCATAAAACACATACACGTAAAGTATACCGTGTTCATTTGAAACCGTAACCCTTAGTTTGTAGTCAGGAAGAAAAATCCTGTCAAATCGCGTTGGCTGCAGTCTGAACGTACTGATTTATATTACGCTCTAGTCTCATCGGCTACAAATTTGAAATAAAAAAGTGACAGACTACAGCTATCCCTGTGGTCAGAGAGTAACCATTCTATGGGAGTTCACTAGCAAGTTGTGACTTTCGGATGAATTTCAATTACTTAAGTGAGTTATGTTTTATTTTGACAAAAATACTTATCTGTGAATGTTTCATCCTCAAACGATTTATTACTGTCAGGGACCGTTCTGGAGACGTCTTCTTTACCACAGCAACTGAAGTGTTTTGTCGGACGCGATGAAGATGTCAAGAAGATTACCAACATATTTCTTGAGGACATGCATCGCCTTGCTGTAATAAAAGCTTTTGGAGGACAAGGTAAAACCGCTTTGGCAACCGTAATAGCTCATAACTTTGTGTCGAAATGGGGAATATGTTCAGTCATGGCAGACATGAAGAATGTTTCATTTGCAGATGATATCCCCTTGTCCCTTCTTCTTGCTTTAAAATCTTCAGCTGGGTTCAGCAGTGGCGACACCAACGCTGATCGTCTCATAACCAAGGCTTGCCAAGTGATATCTTCGTACGGCAAGAAGATGCTCATTATTCTAGACAACTGTGAGAGTGCTCTTGGAAACAGCACACAAAGCATTTTCTATACCATGCTAAGGCGGTTGTTAACAAACTGTAACAATACCTACGTTTTATGTACAACTCGGCATACAATTCAATTACCAAACGAAGAGGTATCCATTCACCATCTTGGTACTTTGACAGAGGATGAATCGTTCGACGTGCTGCAGTCCTATTTACAACATTTAAGTCGCAAAGATGGCAATGGTTTGGCTGCAAAATGTGGCTTCGTTGCACTGCTGCTTCATATTCTTGGCTATTTATTGCACAAAGGTTACAGGGCGATAGATATTATTGCGGAGCTGACTACAAATTCAGTATTTAGCTTGACTCTTTCACCCTTAATGCCCCAGGACCTTAATGCTACAGCTTGTATAAACCTGTCTTATCAACGATTGGACCTAAACATTCAAGAAGCAATTCAGATACTTTCTCTTTTCCCAACAAGTTTTAATGCAGATAATGCATTCAATCTCTTGGCTAAGCACCAGGTTAGTCTTACTATGTTTGATTGCAGAACTTGTCTACAAACCCTTTGTGACGCTTCTTTTCTAGGATATGATGCAGCCAGCGAGACGTATGCTATGCATGGTGTTATACAGGCATTTGCACAAGAGCAGACTTCCGAAGAAAATAGGGATCATTTCAAACAAATATTCATGATATATATGAAGGATATCATTAATGAGATGTACGCCTTTGCTAAAGCAGAAAACGGTCGCGATGCATCTGAATTTTTTGAGAAAGACAAAGATAATTATCTGATCTGTATTGATATTTTTGAGTCAACGCAACCTGCCTCAAAGGTAGTCTCATACAGCATTGCAAAAAAATTGGCCTTCAGTTTAAGGATGATAGGCAGGTTTGTCGATTCTCTTAGGTGTTTTAAAGTATTATTAGACACTGCTAAGGAACACAGAGAACAAACTGATCATTCTGACCTGGCATTCTTGTATTATAATATCGGCTACCTACAGGGCGAACTTAAGGATTCTTCTGCTTCCGTGGAGAATCTGTCAAATGCAATAGTCACGTATGAGGCACAAGAAGGGGGCTTTAATTACAAAGAGTATTGTAAATGCTGTTATTACTTAACACTACAGCTTGGCGAATCAGAAGAAAATTATCCACGTTGCCTCCTTATACTAAACAACTGTTTTGACAAGGCTGCTGCTCATAACGATTTAAGTTTCCAATATCTTGCACAGACCGGAATTGCAGAAATAAAAGCCAGACAAGGAGACGAAAGGGGGGTTATGTCCACTCTGCATGATGTGCTGAATGCAAATCCCGCTTTAGATGGGAAAGATAATGGTGTGGGAATGGATGCTCTGAATGATGCGGCCATGGCATTGAGTCACATTGGCAAAAAAGTGGAATCTTTGTCATTATATAAAAGAGCAGTGGGTGTAGCAGAGGACCTCTGTGGTGAACACCCTGACACTGCTATTGTCCTCACAAACATGGGTTCTGTAATGTTGGAAACCGGTGAAGCACACGATGCCATTGATACTCTCAGGAAAGCTTTGTCTATAAGGGAAAGAACACTGGGAGAATACCACGACCAGACAGCAGTCACAATACATGGATTAGCTCGTGCCATANCAATCATAAAATACCCAAAGTGGTATTTTACACCACTATATTACCCACCGGTTGAAATGCTTGCATTTCAACTATGAGGAATTAAAATAATATGCTAACGTCCACTTTTTAAAATCTATCCTACTAAATACCCATCTTACCAAATGTTAACATGAAATACAATTAGATTTTCTTACCATAACACCCAATATTATCATAATAATATTATATTAATGTTATATGAACATCAAACATCAGCTAATGACATCATAGAGTGTACGTGATAGCTTCTTATTTATCGCATGATGTACATAATAATATGTTTAGATAAGTATACACCTTAACCTTAAGTAATAAACATAGAACCATATATAAAATGTATTAAAGTAACAAACAGTTGTATACCCTTGAATTGTAGTAATACTAATTCAATACTAAGATATATGCACCAATAGTGCATCTCCGTTTCGTGATCATATCATCAATGAAACTTTCACTGTTAATTGACAAATTACTGCACGGTATTACCCTATACCAATCAAAATATCAAAAGGTAAACCCCCTGCCTAAACCAGACCCTTACATCGCGTGTTGTTCCATCAGCATATGCAACGGAGGTGCAGGAAGCGACTCGTTCAACGCTAGTTGTTTTTGGGCCTTCAGCGCCTGCGCTTCAGGTCCTTGAACCGTCAGCGTATCCGAGGTTGCTGTTAGCTCCACCGGGATATAAGTGATGGTCTCACAGTCGTTAGTACTATTGGCTGTTACCGTACGCTGATGAACAGGGGTGTCCGGTGCTGAAATATGACTTAACTCAAGGTCAGTTGACATGGGTTCATATAAAGCGTTATCACATTCCTCATTAGGTCCACTAGACCTTTCTAATTTCCTTTTATTGACGTGATGGCGTTTTTTAATTATTTCCCGCCAATTACATCGCCGATACCCACATATTACAATCAGAATCACCCCAATCACAATGAGGGAGCCAGTGGTCGTTCCAATTACTAATTGTCGCCTAAATTTGTTAGCAAAAAATATAGAAAAGAGATTCGGTTCATCGCTTATCGGAGATAGCAATATACGTTTAACTGGTTGTAAAGGTGTTAATTCGTTAGGTTTCATGATGTGCAAAGCTACGCTAGCCGGAATAATATTTTGTACCTGCAAAGGTTTTATATCATTTACCATGAGTGCCTTAACGCTTACTTTGCCCATCCGTTGTTTTAAACCCGGTAGTGTGAAGTTGGTGGCCGTTATGGAACAGCCGTCACTTACATGTATCAGGTAAACCCCTGGCCATAGGGTATGTGACACAGCAGGTGACCGTGGACACCGTGTATATATTGTTTCCCCCGAAGTGGTGAGCGCGTAATCCCCTAACGCTAACTCTACTGCCTGCGACTGTACATACCTAGTTAATTCTATTTCACATGCTTGCCTATGTTTCACCTGCCCGGTGATTAAGGCCCTGGAGCATAATTTTATTAAGCTGTTTCGTAACACTGTAAGTGATATGTTACACTAAGTAATAAAGAGTAATAAAATAGAGAGGTACTAGCGCCCGTGTCAACTAATGCTAAACAAGGTTCCCCATTTAAAGATACACTAACCCCGCTACGAGCCTTCTTACGCCTCTTCTGCTCGAACTAGTTTAAATGTTCAAAAGGTTGCTATTTCTTAAATAAAGCTTTGAGTTGGTAACATTCTGCCTTAACATGGCCTACTTTACCACAATGAAAACATTTTATCTGTCCGTCTGCCGTCCATCCCTTACTGTCCTTAGACGATTGAGGCGGTTTGCGTGGGTGCTGTCTTGTGTTGGATGACGTCATCGGTGGCTCGCGTTGAGCTGCGCTTTTCAACGCAGATAAGATCGACTCTTTTAGTTCGGTAGCCCATCGTGGTACTTGGTCCACAGGTTGTGTCGCCCCGATTTCCATTGGCTCCTCTATGCGGCGTTGAGTGTTGCTATTTCGGTCTCCGTAGACGGTTTGAAATAGGAGATCACCCACCTCTTCATTGTCCACGTATCTCATAGCTTCTTGCAACGTTGACGGTCGTCCCTTCCGTATCATGTCCCTAGCGAGGCGAATCTCATGCAGGCCCCGCGTATAAGCTTTAATTAACAGGCGTTCCGCTTCCTCGGATCGCGGAAGTGGGTATGCTTTCCGCGCCACGTCTCTGAAGCGGCGATTATAGGACGCCGTGTTCTCAAATTGTGATTGTTTTATTCGTTCCAATTCGGCTCGAATGCAACTAGTTTCATCGGCGGAAAGAAAGACCCGTCGAATATGGTTTCGCAGCACCGTCCAGTCCGTTCCAAAATACTCTGGCTGTTGATTTAAGAAATAATCTATCTCACCTGCCATTGACCCTTGTGCCGTCTGCAGTGCCAGTTTAATTGTGGCGTGTTCAATTTCCTCCGTCCGGGGAATTGTTCGTTCAATTTGGTCAATCCAGTCTCTCGTGTCGTCCGGAATGGACCCATCACAGGGTTTAATAGCCCTGCATAGTACGTCCAATTTTGTCTGGTGCTCACCCTCTATTTTCATGCGTTCCATCCTCGCATTTCGAGCATCTTCCGCTCGCCATCTTTCCTGCATTAAATTTCTCCACTGTCCATCTTCCTGGTGCGCCTGCACCGTTGTTTTTGCCAAAGCTGCAACTCCGGCGGACAGCTGCTGAAGAGAATCTGGATTCATTTCGTTAGATCGCTAAAAATTAAGTCCTGAAAAGAGCTCGCCAATTGTTACNATACCACGAAGAGACAGCATGTTAAGTCTCAGACTTCGTCAGTCAGACTTTACGTGAAAATAATGTAACGTTCGCTAACGCGCCGGTTCTTGGGCCTTAGTGTTGTGCGCCCAGCTGATCAAGTAAAAGGAACAAGATTCTCATTCGATGCAAGTGGAAATTTAATACTGTCTTTTGGAAAATATACAGAGGTTTCTTCTACATAGTAACTGTCAGTCCAAAATGTATAATGATATCGCCAGAGCCAAAATACGATATGATTTCACCTTAAAACAGGGCAGCCTTTATAGATCATTCAGGAATTTTAATAACCAGGAAGAAGTAACACTTGACTGAGCGCAGTCCTTTTGTCTCAGGCTTTGCCCCAACTCAGTCACCGTGTTTCCTGGATCACCATTATCCGCCCTAGCCTTCAAAGGCATTTCTAAATTTTATCTCGTGCCATGTGCCCCGGTCACGATCATTCCCGAATGTCTCTTGACTGCCCCCTTCTAAGCTTATCTTAGGATATGAATATTATTTTAATTAATTATTTATATCAATCATAAAATACCCAAAGTGGTATTTTACAAGCAGTCACAATACATGAATTAGCTCGTGCCATATCTGCCCAGGGAAATCATGAAGAGGCTCTCAGTACATACCAGAGTGCTCTACGTATACAGGAGCAAGTGCTGGGTGAAAGACACAGTACAGCCGTTACACTATACTTCACAGGCAATGAAATGTTACTGAACGGGAATGTGGACGGTGCTCTGGAAATATTCAAAAGATGTCTTACTATGAAGAAAAAGATACCGGGAGGAGAGCGCGAATGGATTTAAACACAAAGACATTGCTGGTAAATGCTCTTATTTTACAGGGAAACCTTGCAGTGGCCGTCAGAGGCATGCAGGAGTACGTTTTTGATAAACGTCCAAGAACAGCACCAACGTTCGTCGACTTGTGTCGTGAAATGCTTGGGGTGATTCATGCCATGGATATATATACATGTACTGTGGATATCCTTAGGATGCTGGTGTCTTTAGAAGAAGAAATAGTTGGAGAATACCATGAGTTTACAGCAACCGCAATGCACAAATTAGCTCGTGCCCTATCTACACAGGGAAAGCACGCAGAGGCTCTCAGTACTTTTCAAAGAGCTCTACATATAAAGGAATAAGTGCTGGGTGAAAGTCGTAGTACGGCCGAAACACTTTACTGTATAGGTCAAGAATTGAGTATGCTTGATAAGAAAGACGAAGCCATGACTGCTTTCATCAAAGCGTTAGTTATGGGGATGAAAAGTATTGGAATAATACCACAGCCAGGCAGCAGCCACTTAACAATACCAAGGTAGTGCACGTAGGTTCTATGTAAAACTTCTGAGGTGTCTCTAGGGTCATTGCCCCCCCCCCCCCCCCCGGAATTATGGAACTGCATTTTATTGCGGGTACCTAGCCAATCATTATCTCCCCCTTGAATGACTTTGACCCCCGCCCCCAGAAAACTTTCTGCAGACGTCCATGGCTACATTTAGTGCTCGGTGCGGGGTTGGTGATTTGACGAGAACACTGCACAATGCAGAAAATGATGTCCTTATTAGAGGTTTGACTGAGGCCATGATCCGAGGAAGCCCAAAAGAGACTGACTGCAGTATTGATTGTCATTCAAGACTAGAGAAGCTGAGAGAATCTTTGTGAATTGGGGTTAAGTTATGCGCGATTAAGGCGAAACTATAAGACTGGAATGTCGCCTTAGAAAACAAAACACAAGTACATGACACGCAAAATATTCGCACTGGAAATTGGACTAAGTTCGCACTAGTTGTTAATATGCTGTAATTCAGCAGAATTCGAAAATCTTTCTGGAATCTTTCTGGTAGACTTAAGTCGCTCTCGCAATTAACTCACCAGTCTGCCATTTGATATATCTCTGACCCTTCTCTCATCACATTGCCACAAAACTGACCGGAATAGGTGGAATAGTTCCAAAACTGCGATGGAATTATGTCTTATTTTTTAAAATTTGAACATATTTTAGGAGCAAAGTGGCCACATATTGTCACCGTATTATCAAACGTATTCTTTACCTTCAGTTGAGCCATTTTGCAATTGGATGCTTAAATATATACATACAAATATGTTATGAAACATTTTATTCTAATTAAACTGCAAGTTCTAAGGCTGCAGCTGTATTGATGACATTCATTTATAACACGTATGTATGTACCTAGCTAAGTACCACATGCCACGTTGTTTGATTACTTTTGATGGCAAGATGGAAAAGAATTGAGTGTTATTTGATTTAATTTTTAATAAATCAGTAAAATAAAATAGGTTTGTTTTGTCAATTTCATTGAATCTGATAACTCCCACGTCCATACCACGTGTTTTGATTCACGTGGCGTCTTTATTTATTGAAATTTTGACTCGGGCTATATTGAAAATTTACAATGAGAAGTTATAAATAGTTTTTATCATTCCCTCGCTATTGTAAGAATCAAGAATGCAAAGCATGATATACAAAAGGAATAAAATAAGGACGTATGAAGTGCTGATACATTTTTACTTTTTTATGTACAGACACAGATGTGTCTGTACATATAGCCATCATCTGCGTCTGTCGTCGCCGTCGTCGNTGTGCAAAGCTACGCTAGCCGGAATAATATTTTGTACCTGCAAAGGTTTTATATCATTTACCATGAGTGCCTTAACGCTTACTTTGCCCATCCGTTGTTTTAAACCCGGTAATGTGAAGTTGGTGGCCGTTATGGAACAGCCGTCACTTACATGTATCAGGTAAACCCCTGGCCATAGGGTATGTGACACAGCAGGTGACCGTGGACACCGTGTATATATTGTTTCCCCCTGAAGTGGTAAGCGCGTAATCCCCTAATGCTAACTCTACTGCCTGCGACTGTACATACCTCGTTAATTCTATTTCACATGCTCGCCTATGTTTCACCTGCCCGGTGATCAAGGCCCTGGAGCATAATTCTATCCCAGGTCGAAACATCGGTCCTGACCTGCATACAATGGGTCGCCACCCTTGGCAGTTCGAAGGGTGAAAGATGTCCCCCGTGATAGGATCAATCCCAACGTCGGTGAACGGAATTATTACCTTTGCTGCTATCCCAGACGTGTTGTAGGGTGCGGGGAAGCTAAGAATCCGATATTTCTGGTATACCCGCTGTGCAATGAGGGGTAACTTTACCCTGTAGATCAAAGTCTCACCTCCCCATGCTGGATTGACCACGACATGCTCGTAATACCAGTTGATCGGTTGAATTGGCAAAGATGTAACATTCACTGTCGCTGTTGTCAAGATATCCTGAAGTTGGTCGGGCGGAAGCAGTTCTTCTGTTAAACGACCCAATCCCAGGCTTGCTTTCTGTCTTAAGTATTTCTCCATAGCTGTTTGAAATGCCGATACCATACGTTCATATTCCGATACTGCTAATTCGATTTGAGAAGCGCAATATAAGTTGTTCAATTTACCTTGTGTTATATTTAATTGTGAAACTACTGCTGGAAAATTGTGAGTTACAAAATTTCGAATGTATCGTTGAATATTGTTTATACTTTGTCTCCCTTCATCTATTAAATCATAAGTGTGGTTTAATACTGATACGAGATCATTAACTTTATGAACAAGTAGTTTATTTTGATGTCTGGTCTCCTGAACAATCTTAGTAACTTCTGCTAAATTTTCGTCTGTGGATAGGCCAAAAAGACTGTGAAAGGCGTCACCAACAAAATTCAGCAATCCTCTTTTGGGACGTAAAGCTAAACGATGGGATGAATCATAGTGATATTTCGTGATACTTAGCGTTGTCAGCGTCCGAAATTTCTCTTTGCAGAAGTCGAGTCTTCCCATCCACAGGTCAGCGTTTCTCCTAGTGATAGTACGGGAATCGATGAGGTTTTGAATTTGTAGTTTGAGTTTAGCTAACTGGACCCAATGGTCGTCTGTGAAGACAGGGCGATCCACGGTTACGAGTAAGTTCCACTCTGTCGTTTGGATAGCCATGTCTACCCGTCCGGTGACTAAAACGCCGTCTGGTATCGGTATCACTTCAGATGTGGCGTCCGTGTGTATTCTAGCAGATAACAGCAGAGCCATCCATGTTAGGATGTGCTTGAAGCCCCTTCCTTTCTCCGTTGTTTGGACGAAGGTTGTGCCTCGGGACTTGGACATAACGCCGCTCTCTTCTTATAACGGGTATTGTAGCTATGATCTGCCGGTCTGCGTAGTTGTGGTTCTCTATCTGTCCAGCTATCCCACTCTAATGACGTCTCGGATTCGGCAGAGTCAGAGTCGGTATCGTCTTGCTGATGTGAAGTCCCCTCCTCTAACTGATCTCTCAAAGGTGGCACTGGAGGTATTATAGCAGTCTCGGAGGTGGCCTTTTTCCTTGAGTTACGCAATGGTCGTGGTCTGACCTCATCCCAAGCTATATCAGGATCAACTACGCGTAATTTATTTCGATTCACGGTTATTATCTTTCCAGATAGTTGATTCCTAATTTTGAACACCTTTCCCCACTTATCAATAACCTCCCATTCCGGATCCCACTTTGAAGTTAGGGTTAATCGTTCCTGGGCTTTAACCACTACCGTGTCACCAATTTGGATAAGATCGGCATTGGCTTTTGCATTAATTCTGGAACGGTTATATTGCCTGGAATTTTTAAGATTCACTTGGGCGCAACGAAGCGCTTTAGACATTTCCCTTAACCGACCATGCAATGCGTTTGTCTGACTGGTGGCTTTTAATGCTTTAGTCAGTGGCAGTCTCCCCCTTCTACCGTACATCAAAAAGAACGGTGTAAACCCTGTGGATGAACTGGGGCTATTGCGATAAGCACATACCGCATTTCCTAATTGGTTTTCCCATTGAAGTGCATCATTGTCGACCAATTTCGCCAACAATTCTTTAATGGTTCTATTTACTCGTTCAGTTTTACCATTTGATTCAGGATTATGACCTGTAGTTGACCTATGATTAATTCCCAAATCTGTCAGAAATTGTCTAAAACTTAGACTTTGGAATTCCCCACCCTTATCCGTGATAATAATTTCCGGAATACCATGTCGCGGGAAGAAATCTTTTGCCAAAACTGACTCCACTTCTAAGGAAGTTTTATTAGGTATAGGATATGACTCGACCCACCCAGATAAATGATCGATGGCATTTAAAATGTATCTATTGCCCTTATCACTTTCCCGAAACGGACCAATTAAATCTAACCCAACAATCTGCATGACATACGATGGAATAGGCATTTCTCCAAATGGCGCGTGTTGTGCCCGCGATTTATGTACCTGACATACCGGACATCGTTGCAGCTGCGATGTAATATCCCGTCGGATTCCGGGCCACACGTACGCTTCCTGTACTCGGTGTTGTGTTTTCGCAGCCCCCATGTGGCCAATTTCTTCGTGACATCGCTGGATCACCGCCTCTCTGTATTGGAAGGGAAGTACTAAACGTGGATAGACAGCAGCTGTACGCGATGGTTTCTTTACTGAATAAAGTAACCCATCTAATACTGCAAGGTCCGAATCTTCTGTTCCCGCATTCTTAAACCACGCTTGGAATTCTTCTTCCTGTTCTCCGCGTAACTTCTCTGGTAGTAAATCGTCTGCTTCTAGGGGTATTCGTTGAGCAGCGTCTTCATCCGGAAGCGCGTCCGGGTCCACCCATTCATCTGTGTCGAAAGTGGCGACCTCTGGTGGCGGCAATCTACTCAAAACATCCGCTCGTACGTTTTTCTTACCTTGTATATATTCTATCTTCGCCCCAAACTCGGACAGCAGCATAGCCCAGCGTTGTACCTTGGTGTTGCGCATTTCAGCCGTGAATAAAGATCGTAAAGGTTTATGATCCGTGAAGATGGTAAAATCGGACCCGATGAGATACGGACGTAGCTTACTGACGCAGAAAATTAAACTGTAGGCTTCGCGTTCAAGTGTGGACCAGCGAAGAGCCGGTCCTGACAAGGATTTAGAGACATACTGTATGACACGTTCCATTCCACTGTCATCTACCTGAACTAAAATGCCCCCTACCGCGTAATTGGATGCATCCGTATACAAGCGATACGGCCTGTCTGTCCGGGGATACGCCATAATCTCATTCGAACACAACTGATCTTTTAAGGTTTGAAATGCCTGTTGTTGTTCGTCCCCCCATACATATTTCTCGCCCTTCTTGGTAAGTTTGTATAGGGATGATGCTGTGTGAGCAAAATTGGGAATGGTTCGCGAGTAATACTGACACATGCCGAGAAAAGACCGAATACCCTTGACCGATTTTGGTGGTTCTAAGGCGGAAATTGCTTTTGTTTTCTCGGGATCACTACTGATACCATCGGGGGTCACAATGTAGCCTAAAAGTTTAATTTCTTGTTGGGCAAATGAACACTTTGATGGTTTTAATTTTAAACCGGCGTTGCGCAATCGCTGAAATACCTGACGTAAATGTTCTGCATGTTCTTCTTTTGTTTTACTAAACACGCAAATATCATCCAGATAAACAAAACATGATACTCCGATAAGGCCACTCAGAACCGAATCCATCATGCGTTGAAAATAAGCAGGTGTAATTGACAACCCAAAAGGACAACGTAAGTATTCAAATTGACCCAGATGACAAACAAATGCTGTCTTTTCAATATCCTTTTCAGCAATGCGAATTTGTGTGTACCCTGAACGACAATCTAGTACTGAAAACCACTGTGCTCCACTCACCTGATCAAAGATGTCCTGAATGAGGGGTAGCGGGTACCTTGCGGGTGTAATAAGCTCGTTCAATTTTCGGTAGTCCACACAAAATCTCGTGCTGCCATCCTTCTTTGGTACTAGTGTAACGGGAGAGGCCCATGGACTGAAACTTGGTTGAATCACATTATCTTTCAGCATTTCTTCAATTTCGGATTCTATAAGTTTTCGCTTCGCTAATGGTGTGCGATACGGTCTCTGTCTAATGGGCACATGATTACCCGTATCTATAGTCATCGGTTCCACGGTACTTAACCCGTGTGGTTCACCTTTTACACTAAACACATCATTAAAATCAATCAAGACCTTATCTATTGCCTCATGACCCACAGGAGTTGCTTTTAAAAGTGCGGTACATAAATCAGTATCTTGTTGATACTGTTTATATTCAACCAGCGGCCATTCCCTACGACACCAATACAGTGTATTAGTGTCATAATTAATGACTCCCCTGTGTGCTTGAAGCGTGTCATTACCCAATATCATTTGATGGTCAATATTGTCTACAATGAGCATCTCTACCACATTTGCAAAGTCAATACGAATTTGAGCCGTTCCTAACACCGTAAGTTGTTGACCCGTTATACTAATGACGGGTTGTGTACTTTTCACTAATCTAGGTCTACTAGTCTTTGCACATAATTTCTTAAATACTGAGTAATGGAGCAGAGAGGTACTAGCGCCCGTGTCAACTAATGCTAAACAAGGTTCCCCATTTATAGATACACTAACCCCCATACGAGCCTTCTTACGCCTCTCTGCTTGAACTAGTTTAAATGGTCAAAAGGTTGCTGTTTCTTACGTAAAGCTTTGAGTTGGTAACATTCTGCCTTTACATGACCTACTTTACCACAATGAAAACATTTTATTTGTCCGTCGGCCGTCCAACCCTTACTGTCCTTCGACGATGGTGGCGTGCCGTCTTGTGTTGGATGACGTCATCGATGGTTCGCGTTGAGCTGCGCTTTTCAACGCGGATAAGATCGATTCTTTTAGTTCTGTAGCCCATCGTGGTACTTGATCCAACGGTTGTGTCGCCCCGATTTCCATTGGCTCCTCTATGCGGCGTTGAGGGTTGCCATTTCGGTCTCCGTAGACGGTCTGGAATAGGAGATCACCCACCTCTTCATTGTCCACGTATCTCATAGCTTCTTGCAACGTTGACGGCCGTCCCTTCCGTATCATGTCTCTAGCGAGGCGAATCTCATGCAGGCCCCGCGTATAAGCCTTAACTAACAGGCGTTCCGCTTCCTCGGATCGTGGAAGTGGGTATGCTTTACGCGCCACGTCTCTAAAGCGGCGATTATAGGATGCCGTGTTTTCAAATTGTGATTGTTTTATTCGTTCTAATTCGGCGCGAATACAACTAGTTTCATCGGCAGAAAGGAAGACCCGTCGAATATGGTTTCGTAGCACCGTCCAGTCCGTTCCAAAATACTCTGGCTGTTGATTTAAGAAATAATCTATCTCACCTGCCATTGACCCTTGTGCCGTCTGCAGTGCCAGTTTAATTGTGGCGTGTTCAATTTCCTCCGTCCGGGGAATTGTTCTTTCAATTTGGTCAATCCAGTCTCTCGTGTCGTCCGGAATGGACCCATCACAGGGTTTAATAGCCCTGCACAGGACATCCAATTTTGTCTGGTGCTCACCTTCTATTTTCATGCGTTCTATTCGCGCATTTCGAGCGTCCTCCGCTCGCCATCGCTCTTGCATCAAATTTCTCCATTGTCCATCCTCTTGGTGCGCCTGCACCGTTGTTTTTGCTAAAGCTGCAACTCCGGCGGACAGCTGCTGAAGAGAATCTGGATTCATTTTGTTAGATTGCTAAAAATTAAGTCCTGAAAAGAGCTCGCCAATTGTTAAGTCTCAATCTTCGTCGGTTAGACTTTACGAGAAAATAATGTCACGTTAGATAACGCGCCGGTTCTTGGGCCTTAGTGTTGTGCGCCCAGCTGATCCAGTAAAACGAACAAGATTCTCATTTGATGCAAGTGGAAATTTAATACTGTCTTTTGGAAAATATACAGAGGTTTCTTCTACATAGTAACTGTCAGTCCAAAATGTATAATGATATCGCCAGAGCCAAAATACGATATGATTTCACCTTAAAACAGGGCAGCCTTTATAGATCATTCAGGAATTTTAATAACCAGGAAGAAATAACACTTGACTGAGCGCAGTCCTTTTGTCTCAGGCTTTGCCCCAACTCAGTCACCGTGTTTCCTGGATCACCATTATCCGCCCTAGCCTTCAAAGGCATTTCTAAATTTTATCTCGTGCCATGTGCCCCGGTCACGATCATTCCCGAATGTCTATTGACTGCCCCCTGCTAAGCTTATCTTAGGATATGAATATTATTTTAATTAATTATTTATATCAATCATAAAATACCCAAAGTGGTATTTTACAA